TAGAAACACAACAAGATGAGTCCACAGCAAGCAAGGTCACCCTGCTGGTTGTTGTATTGGATCACACGTCGGACCCTTCCCAAGTGTCTAGGACTTATTATTATTATTATTATTATTATTATTATTATTATTATTATTGGACTAATTATTATTATTATAGGACTTATATTATTATTATTATTATTATTATTATTTATTTATTTACTAGAAACACAACAAGATGAGTCCACAGCAAGCAAGGTCACTCTGCTGGTTGTTGTATTGGATCACACGTCGGACACTTCCCAAGTGTCTAGGACTAATTATTATTATTATTATTATTATTATTATTATTATTATTATTATTATTTAGAAACACAACAGATGAGTCCACAGCAGACACTCTGCTGTTGTATCTTCCTCCCCCCCTCCGTCCCTCCCTCCCTCCCCTTCTCCATCCACCTCCTCCATCCACCTCCTCCATCCACCTCCACCTCCTCCATCCCCCTCCCACCTCCCCTCCTCCTCCCCTCCACTCTCCTCCCCTTTGTTCTGTCGTATGGTAGGGGTAGGGGGGGGGTGGGCTGTTGTATTGGATCGCATGTCGGACCCTTCCCAAGTGCCTAGGACTTCTTCTTCTTATTATTATTATTATTATTATTATTATTATTATTGGACTTATATTATTATTATTATTATTATTATTATTATTATTATTATTATTATTATTATTATTATTTATTAGAAACACAACAAGATGAGTGGTCACTCTGCTGGTTGTTGATTGGATCACACGGTGGTCCCAAGTGGGAGCGGGGTGAGTGGGTGGTCGGGGGAGTTTGGCGATGCGTCGTTGTGCGTCGGGGGTTTTTCGGTGTGTCCGTGGGGGTTGGGATGAGGGGCGGGTGGGCGGGCGCGAGGGGGCGGGTGTTGGGATGAGGGCGCGTGGGGTTGGCGGTGTTTCGTTTTGAGGTTTGCGCGTGGTTCCGCTGCGGTTGGGTGGCGTCGGGCGGGAGTCGGGGAGGAGTCGGGCGTAGCGCGTTTTCGGCTGCGGTGCGGAGTTTTAGGTGTGGGCGTGATTGTGTGTCCGGCGTTGGTGTTTGCGGCTGTGCGGGCTGGTGGCTGCGTGTGGGGCGCGTTGGTGCTGCGGGGGGGTGCGTTGTGGCTGCGTCGCTCCGCGTTGGGGGTGGGCGGCCGGCGTGGGGGTCGACGCGTGGCGGCGTTCGCGGGGCGGGCGGTTCCGGGCGGGGCGCGCGGCCGGGTCGCGGTCGGGGGTTTGCGTGGTCTTAGCGGGGCGTGCGGGCGGCAGTGGCGTGGTAGTCCCTCATAGAAACACAAGCAAGAGTCCACAGCAGACAGATACTCTGCTGGTTGTTGTATTGGATCACACGTCGGACCTTCCCAAGTGTCTAGGACTTATTATTATTATTATTATTATTATTATTATTATTATTGGACTAATTATTATTATTATAGGACTTATATTATTATTATTATTATTATTATTATTATTATTATTATTTATTTACTAGAAACACAACAAGATGAGTCCACAGCAAGCAAGGTCACTCTGCTGGTTGTTGTATTGGATCACACGTCGGACACTTCCCAAGTGTCTAGGACTAATTATTATTATTATTATTATTATTATTATTATTATTATTATTATTATTGTTTGAAACACAACAGATGAGTCCACAGCAGACACTCTGCTGGCTGTTGAATTGGATCACACGTCGGACACTTCCCAAGGGTCTAGGATTTATTATTATTATTATTATTATTATTATTATTATTATTATTATTATTATTATTATTGAAACACAACAAGATAAGTCCACAGCAAGCAAGGTCACTCTGCTGGTTGTTGTATTGGATCACACGTCGGACACTTCCCAAGTGTCTAGGACTAATTATTATTATTATTATTATTATTATTATTATTATTGTTTGAAACACAACAGAATGAGTCCACAGCAGACACTCTCACTCTGCTGGTTGTTGTATTGGATCACACGTCGGACACTTCCCAAGTGTCTAGGACTAATTATTATTATTATTATTATTATTATTATTATTATTATTATTATTATTATTAGAAACACAACAAGATGAGTCCACAGCAAGCAAGGTCACCCTGCTGGTTGTTGTATTGGATCACACGTCGGACCCTTCCCAAGTGTCTAGGACTAATTATTATTATTATTATTATTATTATTATTATTATTATTATTATTATTACTATTATTTGAAACACCACAAGATGAGTCCACAAAAGACAAGATCACTCTGCTGGTTGTATTGGCTCACACGTCAGACACTTCCCAAATGTCTAGGACTGTGCGATGTATCGGCGAATAATGTGTGCAGATGGTAATTTTGTCAGTGCCGAATGTGTTTAAGTGCAGGCCAAGGTCTTGAGGGACTGCACCCAGTGTGCTGACCACCACTGGGACCCCCTTGACTGGCTTGTGTCAGTCTTTGCAGTTCGATCTTTAATTTATTATTATTGTTAATATATTGTGGTGACCTCCAAACATAATCTTATTTTCTTTGCTACTTCAGGACTCTAATTTTGCTCCTAATGTAAATATCTGATATGCAGGACGCATTTTCATTAACTGGACCAAGTTGGGCACAAACAGGGGCGGCTCAACCCTTACGCAAAGTAAGCCATTGCGGTGGAGTTGATTTTGCCAGGGGCGCTCTTGTGGTGCTCTTGGGGGAAAACAGACCTTGACATATGCGAGTTGTAGTTACTGGGATGTATAGTTCACCTACATCAAAGAGCATTCTGAACTCCACCAATGATGGAATGGAGCATGCAGATTCCAGTAAGGTGGCCTTTTGCAGCTGGCAGATGGTAATTTTGTCAGCGCCGATTGTATTTAAATACAGGCCAAGGTCTTTAGGAACTGCACCCCATGTGCCGATCACCACCTGGAACCATCTTTACTGGTTTGTGCCAAAGTCTTTGCAGTTCGATCTTTAAATCCTATATTATTATTATTATTATTATTATTATTATTATTATTATTATTATTTAATAATAATTAATATTATTAATACAATATTAATATATTATTAACAATATATAATATTATTAATTATTATGATTATTAATATAATTTATTATTATTACTATTATTAATATAATTTATTATTATTATTACTATTATTATTAAATAATAACTAATATTATTAATACAATATTAATATATCATTAACAATATATAATATTATTAATAATTACGATTATTAATATAATTTATTATTTATTACTATTATTAATAATATTAATATTTTATTATTATTATAGTAATAAAATAATATTATTTATTAATTATATATAATAATTTATTATATATTACTATTATTATAAATAATAATAATAATATTAAATAATAATATATTATTAATATATAATATTATAATATAATTAAATTATTAATATAATTATATATTAATACAATAATATAATATTATTATATTAATATTATTATATAATTATTATATTATAATTATTATTAATATAATTAATATTATAATAATTATTAATATATTATAACAATATATAATATTATTAATTAATTATGATTATTAATATAATTTATTATTATTTATTATTAATTATTTATTATTAAATAATAACTATATTATTAATACAATATTAATATATTATTAACAATATATAATATTATTAATATTATGATTATTAATATAATTTATTATTATTACTATTATTTAATAATAATTAATATTATTAATACAATAATAATATATTAATAATATATAATATTATTAATAATTACAATTATTAATATAATTTATTATTATTACTATTATTATTAAATAATAATTAATATTATTAATACAATATTAATATATTATTAACAATATATAATATTATTAATAATTACGATTATTAATATAATTTATTATTAATAATAATATTACTATTACTATTATTATTGTTGTGTCTCTGTCTATTAACAACAATAATTAATATATAATAATAATTATTAATAACAATATTAATAATATATTATTAAATATAAATATTTATTATATTACATATTATTAATATAATTTATTATTATTACTATTATTATTAAATAATAATTAATATTATTAATACAATATTAATATATTATTAACAATATATAATATTATTAATAATTACGATTATTAATATAATTTATTATTAAACAATATATAATATTATTAATAATTACAATTATTAATATAATTTATTATTATTACTATTATTATTAAATAATAATTAATATTATTAATACAATATTAATATATTATTAATAAAATATAATATTATTAATAATTACAATTATTAATATAATTTATTATTATTACTATTATTATTAAATAATAATTAATATTATTAATACAATATTAATATATTATTAAACAATATATAATATTATTAATAATTACAATTATTAATATAATTTATTATTATTACTATTATTATTAAATAATAATTAATATTATTAATACAATATTAATATATTATTAACAATATATAATATTATTAATAATTACGATTATTAATATAATTTATTATTAATAATAATATTACTATTACTATTATTATTGTTGTGTCTCTGTCTATTAACAACAAAACAGCAACAACAATAGTAGCAACAATTTTGCATATTCAGTATCTTGCGGTCTCAGTTCGTGTACAAACAAAAGAAAGCTGGACCTCATCAAATCCTTTGTGGATTCTGGGAGAAGTAGTGCAGAAGCAAGCAAAGGCATGGCACTGAATGAGAACCATTACATTACACGAATAAATGCTCCAGACGCTCCTGTAGCAGCTTTAGCTCAGCACTAAGATTTCCCTGTTACACAACTCTAGCCGCACCCTGATTTTGGCAAGGTGATTGAGTCCCGTGAGCGTTAGATTCGAGTCAATACGGTATTAAATCTGCCTGTTTCAAAAGCTCTCCTGGTCTAACTGTGGTGAAGTTAATGCTGTGGTCTGTCTCTCTTCTGCTCAGGGCCACGGCCAAGCCGGTGTTGGTGCTGCTCCCGGTCCTCGGCCTCACCTGGGTGTGCGGCGTCCTCGTCCACCTCAGCGTCACCTGGGCCTACATCTTCATTGTGCTCAACTCCCTCCAGGTGAGTAGCACTCGAAGGAGACTACTCAGCTCCCTCGCCCCCAAATTAATCCCATTGGTGTTGTTGTTCATTCGTTCAGTTGTCTCCGACTCTTCGTGACCTCATGGACCAGCCCACGCCAGAGCTCCCTGTCGGCCGTCACCACCCCCAGCTCCTTCAAGGTCAGTCCAGTCCCTTCAAGGATGCCATCCATCCACCTTGCCCTTGGTCGGCCCCTCTTCCTTTTGCCTTCCACTTTCCCCAGCATCATTCCCTTCTCTAGGCTTTGCTGTCTCCTCATGATGTGGCCAAAGGACTTCCGCTTTCCCTCTGGTCTCCTTCCCTCCAATGAGCAGGCGGGCTTTCTTTCCTGGAGGATGGACTGGTTGGATCTTCTCGCAGTCCAAGGCACTCTCAGAACTTTCCTCCAGCACCACAGCTCAAAAGCATCTCTCTTCCTTCGCTCAGCCTTCCCTAAGGTCCAGCTCTCACATCCGTAGGTGACTACAGGGAAGACCATGGCTTTGACTAGGCAATGGATCTTTGTTGCCAGTCTGATGTCTCTACTCTTTACTATTTGATCGAGACTGGACATGGCTCTCCTCCCAAGAAGTAAGCGTCTTCTGATTTCCTGGCCACAGTCTGCGTCTGCATAATCTTTGCCCCTAGAAATACAAAGTCTGTCACGGCCTCCACGGTTTCTCCTTCTATTTTCCAGTTGTCAATCATTCTTGTTGCCATAATCTTGGTTTTTTTGACGTTTAGCTGCAACCCGGCTTTTGCGCTTTCTTCTTTCAAATCCCATTGGTACTGTTCTGCTATCTGGGCGGAGGCCAGGAGGGGGTGCTAGAGAGTCCGTTTTTTACCAAATGGCATTCATAACCATTTGAAAGGCCTGTCAGCGGCTTCTGATACGGTGAACCACTGCTGCCTCCTCCTGAGAAAAATGTATAACATCACAAAGGACGACCACCTCACCCGCCTCATAGGAAACCTGCTACAAAACAGGAGCTTTTTTGTTGAGTTCCAGGGCCAGAGAAGCAGATGGCGGAAACAGAAGAACGGCCTGCCTCCGGGGAGCGTGCTCGCTCCATCCATGTTCAACATCTACACAAATGACCAGCCACTGCCAGAAGGGACAGAGAGCTTCATCTATGCTGATGATCGTGCCATCACCGCTCAAGCAGGGAGCTTTGAGATGGTTGAACAGAAGCTCTCCGAAGCTCTAGGTGCTCTTACTGCCTATGACAGGGAAAACCAGCTGATCCCTAATCCATCTAAAACACAGACATGTGCCTTTCACCTTAAGAACAGACAAGCATCCCGAGCTCTGAGGATTATTACCTGGGAAGGAATCCCACAGGAGCATTGCAGCGCACCCAAGTACCTGGGAGGAGTCACTCTGGACCGTGCTCTGACCTACAAGAAGCACTGCCTGAACATCAAGCAAAAAGTGGTCGCTAGAAACAATATCATACGAAAGCTGACTGGCACAACCTGGGGATCACAACCAGACACAGGGCAAACATGGGCCCTCCAGGTGTTTTGGACTGCAACTCCCACAATTCCTAACAGCCGGTAGGCTGTTAGGAATTGTGGGAGTTGAAGTCCAAAACACCCAGAGGGCCCAAGTTCGCCCATGCCTGGTATATATGCACGGGGAATTAGTTAATTATTGGAATCAGTTGCAATGGCAAAATGCACTTGCAATGAGTTAATTCATGATACAGAATTAGTTAATTAGGTGACTGATTAGTTAATTAGGTGACTGATTAGTTAATTAGGTGACTGATTAGTTAATTAGGTGACTGATTAGTTAATTAGGTGACTGATTAGTTAATTAGGTGACTGATTTGCAAATTGACTCGTCATGAATCTAAAGGCTCTGGTTCCCCCCAAAGCACAAATATGTAGGTCTTGTGACTTCACACAAACACACACACACACTTTGCGTAGGAGAGGGGCATGCCGGGTCTCCATTAGCACTTCTGCGGCAATGTTTTGCAATGGGAAAAAAATAAGAGGGAGGGGATGGGGTGAGATCAAACACACCCGAGTGAGAGGAGTGCGCAAGAGAAAGGTGTAAATCCAGAGCTGTCGCTCCACATGGTGATTTAAGGCTGGGAAAATATAATTAGGAGATAAGGTGCTCATTCTACCCCTCTCCGGGCAAAACTCGGGGTCAGCGAGGGCTTGGAATAACATGCGCTCAGAGTCCTGGTCCTGCAAGATTGCCAACGTGTGACCTCTTGGCAAACATTTCGAGCCTGAAAAGGAGGGCTCCAGATGCATTTTGGAGCATTTTTGACCCCTTGAGACCCATATGGAGTCTCGTTAGCTTAGATACCACACTTTGACCATGCTGCAACGTATTATTATTATTATTTGAAACACAAGACGAGTCCACAGCAGACACTCTGCAGGCTGTTGTATTGGATCACACGTCAGACACTTCCCAAGTGTCAGCGCCGATTGTGCTTAAGTGCAGGCCAAGGTCTTTAGGCACTGCACCCAGTGTGCCGATCACCACTGGGACCCCCTTGACTGGCTTGTGCCAGAGTCTTTGCAGTTCGATCTTTAAATCCTCATATCGTGTCAGCTTTTCCAGTTGTTTCTCTTCAATCCTGCTGTCGCCTGGGTTTGCAACATCGAGAATCCATACTTTGCTTTTTAACAAGATTGTGAGGTCATTAGTATTGTGCTCCAAAACTCTGTCTGTCTGAATCCAAAAGTCCCAGAGGTAGCTTGACATGTTCATTCTCTGTAACTTTTTCCGGCTTGTGATCCCACCAGTTCTTTGTGGCAGGCAGATGGTGTTTGTGGCACAAGTTCCAATGAATCACCTGAGCAAGGGTGTTGTGCCTCTGCTTGGAGTCTGTTCGCGATCTTCTTGCAGCAGCTGACGATGGGATCTATTGTTTCATCTGCTACATTGCAGAGTCTACACTTGGGATCTGTTGTTGTTGTTGTTATTATTTTATTAGCCATTCCCTGACACGCGTTGTTGTGGCCCATTCTGTGTATATGTGAATTTTGTGTGTGTGTGTGTGTATATATATATACATATATGTGTGTATTTGTGTGTTTATATGTGAAGCACACATATAATAAGGGCCTTATCTCCTAATTATATGCATATTTGTGTGTATTTGTGTGTATAAATGTGTGTATATGTATATGTGTGTGCATGTGTCTATGTATATATTTGTGTATATGTATATGTGTGTGTTTGTGCAGATATATATATATATATATATATATTCTCGTGTGTATGTATGAATTGTGTGCATGTGTATATGTATATGAGTGTATGTGTGTATGTAAATATGGTGTATTTTGGGGTTTTTAAGTCCGTTCTACTGGGTGTGTGTGTGTGTGTGTGCGTGTGCGTGCGAATGTTATTTTAGGGGTGATGGACACTCGTTGGACTGTCAGGTGTATTGTGTCCAAATTTCGTGACAATTCATCCAGCGGTTTTAGAGATATGTTAATCCCACAAACTAACATTACATTTTTATTTATATAGATTATTATTATTTTCTTACTCATCTCTCTTCGCATCTCAAGGCAGGGCATTGTTGTTGTTGTTATCTTTTTGCCTTGGTTGTGTAAAATTCAGCAATGAAATAATGTGCTGTCAAAAAGGAATACTCTTAGGTTGTTGTGAGCTTTTTGGTCTGTATGGCCATGTTCCAGCAGCATTCTCTCCTGACGTTTTGCCTAGATCTGTGGCTAAAGGCATCTTCAGAGTTCTGTTGAAACGAGGCAAGTTCCAACACACCACTGAAGATGACATTAGCCACAGATGCAGGCAAAATGTCAGTAGAGAATGCTACTGGAACATAGCCATATAGCCCAAAATTCTCACAGCAACCTAGTGATTCCAGCCATGAAAGCCTTCGACAACATAAGGAATAGTCTTGTTGGGTTGTCCTGACCACGAAGCAGCCATGGGTCTTCCGTGTCAGTACTATCTCTCTATGTTGACCATTCTCTCTCTTCTTGCATTGTAGGGTCTCTACATATTCCTGGTCTACGCAATTTACAACAGCGAGGTAAGGCCAGACCCAGGCAGCATCGAAGCGGGGAGGGAGGCGAGAGAAGGGGCCAAGCCTCATGCCTTTTGTGATTGTCTCTTAGGTACGCAACGCCATCCAGCGCATGAAGGAGAAGAAGAAGGCACTGTCCTTCACGGTGGGTCCTACCGAGATTGGTCTTCTCCAAACTCACTTTCCCAACCTCTGACCATTGATGTTCCCCCTTCAAACTCTAGCCATTGAGGTTCTCCTTCAAACTCACTTTTCCAAACCCTGGCCATTGATGTTCTCCTCCAAATTCACTTTCCCAAACCCTGGCCATTGATGTTCTCCTCCAAACTCACGTTCCCAAACCCTGGCCGTTGATGTTCTCCTCCAAACTCACGTTCCCAAACTCTGGCCATTGATGTTCTCCTCCAAATTCACTTTCCCAAACTCTGGACATTGATGTTCTCCTCCAAATTCACTTTCCCAAACTCTGGCCATTGATGTTCTCCTCCAAACTCACGTTCCCAAACCCTGGCCGTTGATGTTCTCCTCCAAACTCACGTTCCCAAACTCTGGCCATTGATGTTCTCCTCCAAACTCACTTTCCCAACCTCTGACCATTGATGTTCCCCCTTCAAACTCTAGCCATTGAGGTTCTCCTTCAAACTCACTTTTCCAAACCCTGGCCATTGATGTTCTCCTCCAAATTCACTTTCCCAAACCCTGGCCATTGATGTTCTCCTCCAAACTCACGTTCCCAAACCCTGGCCGTTGATGTTCTCCTCCAAACTCACGTTCCCAAACTCTGGCCATTGATGTTCTCCTCCAAATTCACTTTCCCAAACTCTGGACATTGATGTTCTCCTCCAAATTCACTTTCCCAAACTCTGGCCATTGATGTTCTCCTCCAAACTCACGTTCCCAAACCCTGGCCGTTGATGTTCTCCTCCAAACTCACGTTCCCAAACTCTGGCCATTGATGTTCTCCTCCAAATTCACTTTCCCAAACTCTGGACATTGATGTTCTCCTCCAAATTCACTTTCCCAAACTCTGGACATTGATGTTCTCCTCCAAACTCACGTTCCCAAACTCTGGCCATTGATGTTCTCCTCCAAACTCACTTTCCCAAACTCTGGACATTGATGTTCTCCTCCAAATTCACTTTCCCAAACTCTGGCCATTGATGTTCTCCTCCAAACTCACGTTCCCAAACTCTGGCCATTGATGTTCTCCTCCAAACTCACGTTCCCAAACTCTGGCCATTGATGTTCTCCTCCAAATTCACTTTCCCAAACTCTGGACATTGATGTTCTCCTCCAAATTCACTTTCCCAAACTCTGGCCATTGATGGTCTCCTCCAAACTCACTTTCCCAAACCCTGGCCGTTGATGTTCTCCTCCAAATTCACATTCCCAAACTCTGGACATTGATGTTCTCCTCCAAATTCACTTTCCCAAACTCTGGACATTGATGTTCTCCTCCAAACTCACGTTCCCAAACCCTGGCCRTTGATGTTCTCCTCCAAACTCACGTTCCCAAACTCTGGCCATTGATGTTCTCCTCCAAATTCACTTTCCCAAACTCTGGACATTGATGTTCTCCTCCAAATTCACTTTCCCAAACTCTGGCCATTGATGGTCTCCTCCAAACTCACGTTCCCAAACTCTGGCCATTGATGTTCTCCTCCAAATTCACTTTCCCAAACTCTGGCCATTGATGTTCTCCTCCAAATTCACATTCCCAAACTCTGGCCATTGATGTTCTCCTCCAAACTCACATTCCCAAACTCTGGCCACTGATGTTCTCCAAAGTCCTGAACTCTGGCCATTGATGTCCACCACCAAAGTCACTTTGCCAAACTTTTCCAAACTCAGAGACTCCTGTGAAGACGAGCATGTGTTCAACTCCCTTGTTGTTTCAGAACTGTTCCCATCCCATCAATTACCTGTCGAGCCCCAGAAACACCTCCTGGGAGATGGGCAAGTTTGGCCCTTCTGGCCCAGAGAGCGCAGCCAAGGGAGCCACAGCGAAGGAGTCCATGGCGAAGACCCCCAGCCACAAAGGTGCCGCCAGGGGAGAGGGAGGCTTGCATTGCCAAACAACATTGTCTGATTCTCCCCCTTTATTTCACCCCATGTCCCTTCTGATGCGCCTCTTTCCTTTCCTCCCCACGCAGGGAACTTCGGAGCCAAAATGCCAATGGGTCTCTCGGCCATCATGGCACCGGACAGGCCGGTAAGTCACCCCAGCTTTTGAATTCAATGCCCACCAAACCCTTCCAGTATTTTCTGTTGGTCCTGGGAGTTTGGTTCAATTTTGTTGTTGGTGGTGTCCGGAACACTCTTTGATTGTAGGTGAACTATAAATCCCAGCAACTCCAACTCCCAAATGTCAAGGTCCATTTTCACCAAACTCCACCAGTGTTCACATTTGGGCATATTGAGTATTTGTGCTACGTTTGGTCCAGTCCATCATTGTTTGAGTCTTTTGATGTAGGTGAACTACAACTCCAAAACTCAAGGTCAATGCCCGCCAAACCTTCCAGTATTTTCTGTTGGTCCTGGGAGTCTGGTTCAATTCCAATGTTGGTGGGGTTCAGAATGCTCTTTGATTGTAGGTGAACTATAAATCCCAGCAACTACAACTCCCAAATGTCAAGGTCTATTTTCCCCAAACTCCACCAGTGTTCACATTTGGGCATATTGAGTATTCGTGCCACGTTTGGTCCAGTCCATCATTGTTTGAGTCTTTTGATGTAGGTGAACTACAACTCCAAAACTCAAGGTCAATGCCCGCCAAAACCTTCCAGTATTTTCTGTTAGTCCTGGGAATTTGGCTCAGTTCTATGATTGGTGGGGTTCAGAACGTTCTTTGATTGTAGGTGAACTATAAATCGCAGCAACTCCAACTCCCAAATGTCAAGCTCTATTTCCCCCAAAACTATTGTCCTCTTCTTTTTGCACTGTTTTTTATTTTGTTATTTTATGTATTTTGTTGTGATGTAATCTTTCTGTTGTGTTGTATTTTATTGCTGTATTATTTTTGGGATTGGCCTCATGTTAGCCGCTCCGCGTCCCCTTTGGGGAGATGGCGGTGGGGAATTAATAATAATAATAATAATAATAATAATAATAATCGTGCTATTGGTGGGGACATTTGGGCATCCCTATGCAGTTCAATGCAGCCAAACGGCAGGATCGGAGTCTACACTCATATGCAGTTCCAAATGATGTAGATCCGTGTTTCTCAACCTTCCTAATGCCGTGACCCCTCAAGGCATTGACCTTGGGTTTGGGAGCTGTAGTTCACCTACATCCAGAGAGCACTGTGGACTCAAACAATGATGTATCTGGAACAAACTTGGCACAAATGATTGGTATGCCCAAATGTGAACACTGGTGGAGTTTGGGGGAAAATAGACCTTGACATTTGGGAGTTGTAGTTGCTGGGATTTATAGTTCACCTACAATCAAAGAGCATTCTGAACCCCCACCAACGATGGAATTGAACCAAACTTGGCACACTGAACTACCACAACCAACAGCAAATACTGGAAGGGTTTGGTGGGCATTGACCTTGAGTTTGGGATTGTAGTTCACCTACATCCAGAGATGTGGACTCATACAATGATGTATCTGGAACAAACTTGGCATGGATACTCAATATGCCCAAATGTGAACACTGGTGGAGTTTGTGGAAAATAGACCTTGACATTTGGGAGTTGTAGTTGCTGGGATTTATAGTTCAGCTACAATCAAAGTTTAGGAGTTGTAGTTCACCTACATCCAGGGAGCAGTGTGGACTCAAACAATGATATATCTGGAACAAACTTGGCACAAATGATCGATATGCCCAAATGTGAACACTGGTGGAGTCTGGGGGAAATAGACCTTGACATTTGGGAGTTGTAGTTGCTGGGATTTATAGTTCACCTGCAATCAAAGAGCATTCTGAAGCCCACCAATGAGGCAATTAGGCCAAACTTCCCACACAGAACCCTCATGACCAACAGAATATTTTCTGATGGTCTTTGGTGACCCTCTCATGACCCCCCCAGGGGTCCTGACCCCCAGGTTGAGAAACACTCATGTCGATGCCGCCAGAGGCCGAACATTTTAATGAGGCAATGGAGGAAGCCCTCGAGATCTTTCCCCACTTTCAGATATTGGATGACATTGCTGCCACGTGTTGGAAAAAACCAAAAGGATTATGCCATGTTCCATCCGCTTGCTATCCAAGGCCATCAGTAGCCTTGCAGCCAAGTCAACATCCCCGCTTACGGAAATATCCGAGGAACGGGGTGGCTTTGGAGGCCCACCATCTGTCCTGGCAGAAGGTGCCAAAGCAGGTAACTGGAGAAGCCCAGCGCCGGTCAGCTTCACCAGCTCCAGGTGTGAGTCGATGGGCTCGGCGTCATTGCTAAGCTACCAGGCCCTCCAGATCAAGGGATTACCTCCTCCTCCGGGCACGGACGTACCCAGCGCTGAATGCCAAGGACACGAAGGGGAAAACATGGGTCTGGAGTGGCACTGGGGCTGGCTCACAATAGGAGCCAAACACAACCATCAATATCTATTTATCTATCTATACACACAATAAAAGTAAATATACCTCTGTCTTGTGGGGTTCCTCAAGGCTCAATACTGTCTCCTATGTTGTGTAACCAAACTGGGGGTCGGGACCCCTGAGGGGGTCACAAGGGGGTGTCAGAGGGGTCGCCAAAGACCATCAGAAAACACAGTATTTTCTCATGGTCATGGGGATTCCATGTGGGAAATTTGAGCCAATTCCATCGTTGGTGGTGTTCAGAATGTTCTTTGATTGTAATGAACTATAAATCCCAGCAACTACAACTCCCAAAAGTCAAGGTCTATTTTCCCCAGGCTCTACCAGTGTTCACATTTGCACATATTGAGTATTTGTGCCAAGTTTGGTCCAGATCCACCATTGCGTGAGTCCACAGTGCTCTCTGGATATAGGTGAACTACAACTCCCAAACTCAAGGTCAATGCCCAACAAACCCTTCAGTATTTTCGGAAGTTTGAGCCAATTCTATTGTTGGTGGAGTTCAGAATGTTCTTTGATTGTAATGAACTATAAATCCCAGCAACTACAACTCCCAAAAGTCAAGGTCTATTTTCCCCAGGCTCCACCAGTGTTCACATTTGCGCATATTGAGTATTTGTGCCAAGTTTGGTCCAGATCCACCATTGTGTGAGTCCACAGTGCTCTCTGGATATAGGTGAACTACAACTCCCAAACTCAAGGTCAATGCCCACCAAACCCTTCCAGTGTTTTCTGTTGGTCATGAGAGTTCTGTGTGCCAAGTCTGGTTCAATTGCATCGTTGGTGGAGTTCCGAATGCTCTTTTAATTTAAATGTACCATAAATCCCAGCAACTACAACTCCCAAATGACAAAATCAATCCCCCCCACCCCACCAGTATTCAAATTTAGGCATATTGAGTATTTGTGCCAAATTTGGTCCAGTGAATGAAAATACATTCTACATATCAGATATTTACATGACGATTCATAACATTAGCAAAATTACAGTTATGAAGTCGCAACAGAAATAATGTTGTGGTTGGGGGTCGTCACAACATAAGGAACGGCATTAAGGGGTCGCGGCATTAGGAAGGGTGAGAAACACTGATCTACATGAAGCCGTTGGGGGAGATCATCCAGAGTTTCGGGGTGGTGTCATCTGTACGCGGATGATGTCCAACTCTGTCACTCCTTTCCACCTGCTACTAAGGAGGCTGTCCAGGTCCTGAACCGGTGCTTGGCCGCTGTGACGGTCTGGATGAGGGCGAACAAATTGAAATTGAATCCAGACAAGACAGAGGTACTCCTGGTCAGTCGCAAGGCCGAACAGGGCATAGGGTTACAGCCTGTGTTGGACGGGGTCACACTCCCCCTGAAGACGCAGGTTCACAACTTGGGTGTGATCCTGGACTCATCGCTGAGCCTGGAAGCCCGGGTTGCAGTGGTGTTCAGGGGAGCATTCGCACAATTAAAACTGGTGCGCCAGCTGCGCCCGTTCCTTGGGAAGTCTGACTTGGCCACGGTAGTCCGCACTCTGGTTACATCCCGTCTAGACTACTGCAACGCTCTCTATGTGGGGTTGCCTTTGAAGACTGTCCGGAAGCTTCAAATGGTCCAACGCTCGGCAGCCAGGTTGCTAACAGGAGCATACAGCTCCCTTGTTGCGCCAGCTCCACTGGCTGCCAGTCTGCTACCAGGCACAATTCAAAGCCTTTAAAGCCCTAAATGGTTCTGGCCCGACTTACCTGTCTGAACGCATATCCTCCTATAAACCAGTAAAGACGTTAAGATCATCTGGGGAGGGCCTGCTCTTGGTCCCGCCTGCATCACAAGTACGGTTGGCGGGGATGAGAGACAGGGCCTTCTCAGTGGTGGCCCCTCGGCTGTGGAACGCCCTTCCCACAGAAATTAGATCGGCCTCCTATAACCAGTAAGGACGTTAAGATCGTCTGGGGAGGGCCTGCTCTTGGTCCCGCCGGCATCACAAGTACGGTTGGCGGGGACGAGAGACAGGGCCTTCTCAGTGGTGGCCCCTCGGCTGTGGAACGCCCTTCCCACAGAAATTAGATCGGCCTCCTATAACCAGTAAGGACGTTAAGATCGTCTGGGGAGGGCCTGCTCTTGGTCCCGCCGGCATCACAAGTACGGTTGGCGGGGACGAGAGACAGGGCCTTCTCAGTGGTGGCCCCTCGGCTGTGGAACGCCCTTCCCACAGAAATTAGATCGGCCTCCTATAACCAGTAAGGACGTTAAGATCGTCTGGGGAGGGCCTGCTCTTGGTCCCGCCGGCATCACAAGTACGGTTGGCGGGGACGAGAGACAGGGCCTTCTCAGTGGTGGCCCCTCGGCTGTGGAACGCCCTTCCCACAGAAATTAGATCGGCCTCCTATAACCAGTAAGGACGTTAAGATCGTCTGGGGAGGGCCTGCTCTTGGTCCCGCCGGCATCACAAGTACGGTTGGCGGGGACGAGAGACAGGGCCTTCTCAGTGGTGGCCCCTCGGCTGTGGAACGCCCTTCCCACAGAAATTAGATCGGCCTCCTATAACCAGTAAGGACGTTAAGATCGTCTGGGGAGGGCCTGCTCTTGGTCCCGCCGGCATCACAAGTACGGTTGGCGGGGACGAGAGACAGGGCCTTCTCAGTGGTGGCCCCTCGGCTGTGGAACGCCCTTCCCACAGAAATTAGATCGGCCCCCTCCCTTTTGGCATTTCGGAGGAAAGGGAAGACCTGGTTGTTTGAATAGGCAGTGTAACTAATATAGAAATATGGAACATTTGGATGATGAGACGGGATCTTGATTTTAACTATGAGACGAGACGAGATGTTGACGTTTATTGATTGTTATATTGTTATTCTTAAACTGTTCTCAACTGTTTTTATCATGTTTTGTGTATTGTATTGTTGTTGTATTGTATTGTATTTTATGTATTGTATTGTTGTTGTATTGTATTGTATTTTATGTATTGTATTGTTGTTGTATTGTATTGTATTTTATGTATTGTATTGTTGTTGTATTGTATTGTATTTTATGTATTGTATTGTTGTTGTATTGTATTGTATTTTATGTATTGTATTGTTGTTGTATTGTATTGTATTTTATTTATTGTATTGTTGTTGTATTGTATTGTATTTTATGTATTGTATTGTTGTTGTATTGTATTGTATTTTATGTATTGTATTGTTGTTGTATTGTATTGTACTTTATGTATTGTATTGTTGTTGTATTGTATTGTATTTTATGTATTGTATTGTTGTTGTGAACCGCTCTGAGTCGCCCTGAGGGCTGAGAAGAGCGGTATACAAATATAGTAAATAAATAATAGATAAATACATACGTGTGAGTGTGTGGCTGGAGTGTCCACTTCCACAGACAAGCCATAGCTTCCACTGCTCAGGAGACACCAATGACCCTCCCTCCAATGAGATTGTAGGTCATATTGCAACCTTCCCAATGCTGCGACCCCTTGATACAGTTCCCCATACGTGGTGGTGACCCCCAACCAGAACATCATGTTCACTGCTACTTCACAACTGTAATTTTCTCACTGTTATGAATCGCAATGTAAATATCCGATATGCAGGATGTATTTTCATCTATTGGACCCAAATTTGGTGGGGTTGGGGGGAGATTGATTTTGTCATTTGGGAGTTGTAGTTTCTGGGATGTATGGTTAACCTACAATCAAAAGAGCATTCTGAGCTCTGCCAACGATGGAATTGAGCTCTACCAACTTGGCACACAGAACTCCCGTGGCCAAGAGCAAATACTGGAAAAGTTTGGTGGGCATTGTCCTTGAGTTTTGGAGTTGTAGTTTACCTACATCCAGAGAGCTCTGTGGACATGGCATGAATACTTAATATGCCCAAATGTGAACACTAGTGGAGTTTGGGGAAAATAGACTTTGACGTTTGGGAGTTGTAGTTGCTGGGATTTGTAGTCCACCAACAATCAATGATAGAATTGGACTCAACTTCCCACTCAAACCCCAACAACCAACAGAAAATGCTATGCTTTGTGATGGGTTTTGACGACCCCTCTGACACCCCCTCGCGACCCCCCGAGGGGTCCGGACCCCCAGGTTGAGAAACGCTGATATATTGTGATTGCCGTAAACACGTCCAATGTTTTCCACCAACACCACACCGCCCACCAGCCAAGGGAAGGCTTGGGGCAATGCCAGTCGTACTCGTATTCAGTTGTGTGGGTGCGCCCCCAACATTCAATGCAACCCCCCACGCTCTCCTTTCGCTTTCTCCTTTCAGGCTGTGCAACTGACGGCATTCAAATCCTCGGGTAAGTCAGGCCTTCCTTCTTGGCTCCTTGTGCGTTCTGCCCTCCTGGGGTTTCCTCTTCTTTTGCAAGGAGGATGAATCGGGGACTGTGAGGCCATCTGCACAGACCCTCAAAGGCGGGATGTCCCGTGTGAAAAGGGGTGGCTGGCTTCATGACAGTGCTGAATGCGCGCTGATCCGCTGCAAGAAACACCCTCTTCCATTGTTGTGAGAGAGCGCCTCCACCAAAGCCCTCCTTTCAGCCATTGCACTCCCTCTTCTCCCTTTTAAAGTCTTCCCTTTCTTTCTTTCTTTCTTTCTTTCTTTCTTTCTTTCTTTCTTTCTTTCTTTCTTTCTTTCTTTCTGTAACCGCTTTTGGATCTGCTTGGTGCTCACTTTCTCTCCATATCTATCATCCTTTCCCCCCTCCTTTTCTGTCTCTTTCTGCCTTTACGACTCCTCACTGATTTTCTTAAGGTCACCTTTCCCTCCCTCCCTCCCTCCTTCCTTCCTTCCTTCCTTCCTTTTTTTCTTCCTCCCACTTTTCTTTCTTTCCTTCCTTCCTCCCTTCTTTTCTCTTTTCTCCTTCCTTCCTTCTTCTTTTCTTTCCCTTCCTCCCTTCTTTTCCTTCTCTTCCTTTCCTTTCTTCCTTCCCTTCCTCCCTTTTCCTTCCTTCCTCCTCTTTCTTCCTCCTTCCTTTTCTTTTCTTTCCTCCTTCTTTCCTTCCTCCTTCCTTTCCTCTTTTCTCTTCCTTCTCCTTTCTTTGCTTCCTCCCTCCCTCCTCCTCCCTCCCTCCTTTTTCCTCCTTTCCCTTCTTTCTTTTTCCTTCCTTCCTCCCTTCTTTCCTCCTTTTTTCTTTCCTCTCTTCCTCCTTCCTTCCTTCTTCCCCCTTCCTTTCTCCTCTTTCCTCCTTTCTTTTCCTCCCTCCCTCCCTCCCTCCCTTCCTCTTTTCTCCTTCTTTCCCTCCTTCCCTCTTTCTTTCTTCCTTCTTTCTCCTTTCTCTTCTTCCTTCTTCCTCTTTCTTCTTCCTTCTCCTTCTTCCCATCCTCCCTTTCCTTCCTTCCTTCCTTCCTTCCTTCCTTCCTTCCTTCCTTCCTTCCTTCCTTCCTTCTTTCCTCTCTCTCCTTTCTTCCTCTCTCCTTCCTTCCTTCCTCTCTCTATCTCCTTCCCTTCCTTCCTTTCTATTTCACCTCCCTTCCCAATGATCCAAGGCAGGGAGACGGATCCCTAGGTCGGCCGGCCTCTCCTTTGGGATCTTCCTGCCTCTTATCCCCTTCCTCCCACGCAGCCAGATGGTTTCCTGGCAAGAGGAGAGAGAAGAAGGAGAGCTCTTTGGAGGAGAAGCTTTGGCGAGACCGGCTTCCTCTCCCATTGGCCTCATTTGGCAAGGAAAGCTTGCAAAGCGTTGACCAGCCACTCAGCACAACCTTGCAAAAAAACCCCAACGCACCCAATCTCTGCCCACTGTTGCACTTGGCCCTTTTCCCGCTGTTCGTTGCATCCTTTGTTTTTTATTCCTTCATTCAAAGAATTTGGCTCAGCATCTGAGTTGTTGTGAGTTTTCTGGGCTGTCTGGCCATGTTCCAGAAGCATTCTCTCCTGACATTTCACCCACATCTACGGCAGACATCCTCAGAGGTTGTGAGGTCTGTTGGAAACTTGGCAAGTGGGGTGTGTGTGTGTGTGTGTGTGTGTGTATATATATATATATATATATATATCCCTGTGGAATGATGTCTACAGTGGGAGAAAGAACTCTTGTCTGTTGGAGGCAAATGGGAATGTTGCCATTGGCCACCTTGATTCACATTAAATGGCCTTGCAGCTTCAAAGCCTGGCTGCTTCCTGCTTGGGGGAATCCTTAGTTGGGAGGTCTTAGCTGGCCCTGATTGCTTCCTTTTCTGGATTCCTCTTTATTTACTGTTATAATTTTAGTACTGGTTGCCAGATTGTGTTTATTTTCATGGTTTCCTCTTTTCTGATGAAATTGTCCACATGCTTCTTGTGGATTTCAATGGCTTCTCTGTGTAGTCTGACAGGAGTCCCCCAGGCAGCAACCAGCCAGGATTTGAAGCTGCAAGGCCATTCAGTGCTAATCAAGCTGGCCAATTGCAACATTCACACCTGCCTCAAGCAAACAAGAGTTCTTTCTCCCACCCTAGACATCATTCCACAGATATATATATATATATTCCACTTGCCAATGGATTCCCCCAGGCAGCAACCAGCCAGGCTTTGAAGCTGCAAGGCCATTCAGTGGTAATCAAGGTGGCCAATTGCAACATTCACACCTGCCTCAAGCAAACAAGAGTTCTTTCTCCCACCCTGGACATTAAACCCCACTTGCCTAGTTTCCAACAGACCTCACAACCCCTAAGGATGCCTGCCATAGATGTGGGCGAAACGTCAGGAGGGAATGCTTCTGGAAAAACTCACAGCTACCCTATGTCGTATTCCTTATACCTCTCACTATGACAATCTGGGTATGTTTCCGTATCCCTTCAACGGGGTCGGTTTCAGCTCTGGTTTGCAGGTCAAAACGGAATGGCCGTGTCGCGAAATGACATGTCTCGTGTTTCAAAAGTACATCGCCGACACGAAAGGTTTGGGCACGCTCTGATATGAAGCGCGGTCCCTTTGGAAACGCAGACATCTGCAAGAAGGGGATGGAGGAGTGTTGCTTTGATGCGCCCTTTGTGTCCCTTTTGTGCCAAGATTGGGGGACGGAGGAGAGGAAAGAGGGCCCTTCCCAAGCCCACCCCAAAGGGGAAACGGAGGCACAGGTGTGTGCGCCGCCAGGGGTCCCTGACCCGCCATCATCCGAGCACAACAAAGCCCAGCCGGCCTTCTCGCAGATGGGTTTGTTTGTGCTCCTTAAAGAGGGATTTCTCCGCCACCGCCCTCCCCTCCACTTCAGTTGTGGGCCTGAGCTCCTCCTAAGTGTCTCTAAAGTCCCATTCTTGGGCATTGTGGTTGTGGATTGTCATTCCTGATGGTCACAGCTGGTTGGGGCCCCCACGGAAAGCCAGGCACCAAACGGGTCAAGGTTTACCCTGAGTGCACAAGCCCAATGGCCAGGCAATTTTGGCTCACTGAAGTCCCTGTTCTCCCAGAGGACCTCCGTGTCCAGTGGGAGGAGGCCATCCTGCCGGGAACCAGGACCCAAACCATGTGGGGCTTTAAAGGCCAAAAGTAACTCTTCCTTCCTTCTTTCCGTCTTTCTCTTTCCTTCCTCCCTCTTTTCTCTTTCTTCCTTCATCCTTTCTCTTCTTCTTTCTTTTTCTCCTTTTTGTTCTTCTCTTCTTTCTTCTTTTCTTTTTTCTTTCTTTCTTTCCCTCCTTCCTTCTCCTTCCCATTTCTTTCCTTTCTTCTTTCCTTCCTTCCTCCCTCCTTCCTTCTTACTTTCCCCTTTCTCCTTCCTTCCTTCCTTCTCTTCTTCCTTCCTTCTTATCTCTTTCCTTCTTCTTTCCTCCTTTCTCTTTCCTTTCTTTCCTTCCTCTTTCCTTCTTTATCCTTTCCTTCTTTCCTTCCCTCCTCCTTTTCCTTCCTTCTTTTCTTTCCTTTCTTCTTTTCTTTCCCTCCTCCCTCCTTCTTCCTTTCCTCCTTTCTTCCTTCCTTTTTCCTTTCCTTCCTTCTTTCCTTTCCTCTCCTTCCTTCCTCTTTCTTCCTTCTCCTCTTTCTTTCTTTCTTCCTCCTTTCCTTCCTCTTTCCTTTCCTTCTTTCTTCTTCTCTTTCTTTCTTTCTTTCCTTCCTCCTTCTTCTTCCTCTTTCTCTTTCCTTCCTTTCCCTTTTCTCTCTCTTTCTTTCCTCTCCTTCCTTCCTCTTTCCCTTCCTTCATTCCTTTCCTTTTCTTTCCTTCCTTCCTTCC